TTCTTTTTTTTCAATAGTAGTTATCCTAATGGGTTTGAGGCTTTATTTCATTGTGGTTTTGATTCTAATTTTCCTAATTATTAATTAAAAGATGTGGAACATCTTTTCATGTGCTTTTTAGTCCTTCATATGTATTCTTTAGAGAAATATATATTACAATAATTTAATGAAAGTATTATTATACTTTTAATGTCACATAGCTAAGAAATCCTTGCCACATCCCATGTTATGATCTTTTCCTCCTGGGTTTATAAGAGTTTTATAGCATTAGCTCTTATTCTTAAGTCTTTGATTCACTTGAGTTAATTTTTGCATAGTATGAGATCAGGAAAGAATTCTTTTGCATGTGCATATTCAGTTCCCCAGCACCACTCTGTTAAAGAGACTATCTTTTCCCATCTTCTTTTTTTTTTTTTTAAATCTCTTGACCATATATGTGAGGGTTTGTTTCTAAGATTTATTCTATTCTATTGATCCATATGTCTGTCTTGATGCCAGCACCACATTGTTCTAATATTGTACCTTTGTAGTAAGATTTGAAATCAAGAAATGTGAGACCTTTATCTTTGTTCTCTTTCAAGATTAATTTGGCTATTTGGGGTTCCTTGAGGTGTCCTATGAATGTAAAGATTTTTCTATTTCTATTTTTCTATTTCTATTACTGTGATTTTGATAAAAACTGAATTTAATCTGTAGATCTCTTTGGGTTACTACTGACATCTTAACAATATATTAAGCCTTCCAATCCATAAACACATGATGTCTTCCCATGTATTTGTCTTTAGTTTCTTCCAGCATGTAAGTCTTTTACCTTCTTTTTAAAGTGTATTCCTTAGTATTTTTATTCTTTTTTATGGTATTTTAAATGGAATTGTTTTCTAAATTTCTTTTTTGGAATGTTCATTGTTAGTATATAGAAACAATTCATTTCTGACTTTACTGAATTCATCTATTAGTTATGATAGTTTTTCCTTATGGTTTTCTACATATAAGAACATGTTGTTTATGAACAGCAATGTTACTTCTTCCTTTCCAATTTGGATGTCTTTCTTCTTCTGTACTAATTGGTCAAGTTACAACTTATAGTACTATGTAAAGCAGAAGGGACATAAATTGGTGCCTTTCTCTTGTTCCTGATCATAGCTTTTGGGCTTTTCACCATTGGGTATGATATCAGATGTGGTCTTTTCACGTATAGCCTTCTGTTATGTAGAGATAGTTTCCTTCTTTCCGGGTTTTAAATTTTTTAATCAGGAGCTTTTGAATCTTGTCAAATTGGCATCAATTCAGATGACAATGTGGGGTTTCTCCATTCTGTTAATATGGTATGTTAACATTCATTTTTGAATGTTTAATTAGAGAACTATAAATTCTATTTGATCACCATGTATAATTCTTTTAATGTGCTGTTAACTTTGCTATTATTCTGTAAAGGATTTTTACATCAAAATTGATCAGGTGTTGAGAGCCACAGCCAAAGGGGCCCCAGCAAACTTCCAGCTGATGATTAGCTCACAATGGCCCCAGCAACATCTAGCTGATTGGCTCCTCTGCGGTGATGTTCATTGGGCTGTTTCCCTGCCCTTCAGACTGCCAGCTGATGATTGGCTCACAGCAGCCCCAGCAACATCTAGCTGATTGGCTCCTCTGCGGTGATGCTCATTGGGCTGTTTCCCTGCCCTTTCAGACCACGGAGCTGCTCATTGGGGGACTTCTTTGGCTCCGCCCACACGACCCAGCCAATCGGCCTCAAGAGCAGGAGGATTGTGGGAGGTGGAGAGGCTGATGTGGGGGGTGAGAGGCTTGTGGGAAGCCGGTGGTGGCAGTTGGGCTCTGAGGGTTTTTTCCTGAGGAGCTGTTTTGTTTGGTGTGTATAGTTCTAAAAATAAAGTTAGTTTCTTTTGACAAGTGGCTCCTGAATTGTGCCCAGCCAGACTGCGGCAATCAGGGATATTGGCTTATAGTTTTCTGTAGAATACAGAAGTGTTCAATTCTAGGGAAGTATTTAAGGATAGATGGTGTTAATTCTTCTCTAAATGTTTGGTAGAATTCACAAGTGAAGCCAGACAGTTCTGGACTTTTATTTATCAGAAGGTTTTTGATACTCATTCAGTATCCTTACTAATTATAGGTCTATTTAGAATTTATATTATTCAGTTTTGGTAGGCTGAGTTTCTAGAATTTTTAATTTTATTTTGGCTATCCAAATGTTGGCTACACTGTTCATAGTATTTTTATGATACTCTCTATTTCTGTAAAATTGGTTGTATTGCCCCCTCTTTCATTTCTGATTTTAGGTATTTGAATCCTCTTTATCTTTTCTTCATCAGTCTACCTGAAGGTTCATTAATTTGTTAATCTTTACAAAGCACCAACTGTTTCATTTGATTTTTTTTATTCTCTTATTTCTGCTCTCATGTTTAGTATTCTCCATTTCTGCTAGCTTTGAGGTATTTCTGGTTCCTTAATTATTAAGTTAGGTTGGTTTGGGATCTTCTCCATTCTTAATATAAGCATTACATTATTAATATTAGCAATGTTTATACTCTATCCTATACATTTTGGTGTATTGATTTTCTAATTTCCATAGTTAAATCTTCTTTGACCCACTGGTAGTTTGAATGTGCTATAAAGTTTGGATCCTGAATGTCCCCCAAAGGCTGATGTGTTGAAGACTTGTTGGTGGCCCATGAATCTATGGGCATTAGTGGACCTTTAGGAGACAGGGCCTATGGAAGGAAGTTAGGCCCTTGAAGGGGATATTGGGACTCTAGCCCTTTCTTCTTGTTGCTTCCTGGCTGCACTGAGGTGAACAGGCTGCCTCTGCCCTGTACCTTCTGCTATTATATACTGTGCCCAAAGCACCAGGACCAGGTGACCATGGACTAAAAACCATGGGCCCAAATTAATTGTTGATCTCAGGTATTTGGTCTTAGTGATGAAAAGTTGAATGATACAGGATTGTGTTGCTTAATTTGTGGATTTTCCAGTTTTTCTAATTTCATTCCAATAATTCAGCATTTTAAAATTTATTAAGAGTTTTTTTTGTGGTCTATGATAATGTATCCTAGAGAATGTTCCATGTGCACTTGAACACTTGAATGTTCCATGTGCAATAAACACTTGTTGGGAAGAGTGTATTCTTCTTTGGTCTAGTTCCTTTGTAGTAGTCAGAAAATAAACAAGGAAACAGGGGACCTGACTACTACAAAGCAACTAGACCAAAGAATAATAAACTCTTCCCCAAAATGGGTAGTTTTCTCAAGTGCACATTTTCTATCTAGTGGTTATATCTATTATTCAAAGCAAGGTACTCGTGTTTTCTACAATATTGTAGAGTTGTTTCTTTCTTTAAATCTCCTATAATGTTTGCTTCATACATTTAGGCACTCTGATACTTGATGCATAAATATTTATTATAACAGTTTTGACTTAGTCTATTTTCCCTTCCATCCCAGAGAAGGAAATGGGAATTGGCTGTACCAGGGAGGATGTGGGGAAAAGGCAAACAAATACCATGTGATGTCTGCCCATCTTATATGTGGCTTTTGCTTGATTAGGCATTTTCTTCATTGCTGCCTAATTGACTTCTAGAGTTCTCACAAAACTACTTAGGCCTGGAGCTTCCTAATCTGCCATCTTTCTAACATCACTTTTTTCCTTTTTTAGTTGTTGATAGACTTTTATTTTATTATTTTATTTATATGTGGTGCTGGAAATCGAACCCAGTGCCTCACACATGTCAGGCAAGTGCTCTACCACTGAGCCACAAACCCAGCCCTTGCTAATATCACTTTTAAAGAGTGTTTTTTTTCCTAAAGAAAAAGTATAGCTGGGTGTGGCTGTGCATACCTGTAATGTAATCCCAGCAATTCAGGCTGAGACAGAAGGCTTGTAAACTCAAAACCAGCCTCTGCAACTTAGTTCCTATCTCAAAATAAAAGGGAAATTGGGATGCTCAGTGGTAGAATGCCCCTAGCTTCAATACCCAGTGCCATGGTGGTGGTGGTGGGGAAGCCTATACCTACTGCACTTTACTTTTTCTAGTATTCTTTTTTTTACCTTTTTAAAATGTGTTTACATAAATAGATTTGGATTTCCTTGGCTAGCAGACTTGTCTGTCTTGCAGGGACCATGAGTTCCTAAATGGCATTAGGGTGTGTGTACTGGCCTGCAGTAAACGGGACATCTGCCCAGTGTTGGGACATCTGCAGCGGGTCTGCTCTTAGTGCCCCCAATACCATCACAGCCAAGGAGGACTATAATGGTGGAATATATAAATCATGTAATGTTTAGTATAAAGAAGGTTTACTGGCAAAATTATCAGTGATTTCCTCTTGGTATCATTTTATGAAAGAGTAAACATTTCAGTATTTCAAATACAGAGAGATTATGTTCACTGATTCTCTTTTGCATTGTGTAAGACAATTTTACTATGATGTAGTCTCCCTTATGAGCAGTGCATGAATTCTCTGCTAAGTTTTTAGACTATACCTGTTCCCTTAAACAGGTTCCCAAGAACCCTATCCTATAAAGATGTATGTATGCAGATTTCAAGGGCTTTTCAGAGGATTTCCACATAGAAATTTGTACCATCCTGGCAGTACTATTAGTCCAACAAGACTACTGCTTTTGTTTGAGGTCTATCCCTGTGAACCCATGAACTGGTTAAGTACATTCAGGAAAAACCAGGTGAATGAGGTCTTCAACCAGTATATCCTTTAAAGATCATATTTTGCTTAGTAGTGATTACTCATCTATGCCTTGAAATGTATTTTTGGGATTCAAATATTTGTTAACTGTCCAGAGTTCATTCAATACAAGTTTTTAATATGACCTGACCATTATAAAGCTATCAAATTCCAGTAATTTGGTAATACAAAGAAAATTTTATGTACATGTATATTTCAGTTAAAAATAATTTTTATTACTGATGTGAAATAAAAGAATTTAGTTAAAAGAAATATAAAGATTACATACTAGAAATTTTTCTTTTGTAGGATATAGCAAATGAAGAACACAAAAAAATTGAAATGTTAAAATCAGAAAACAAGAAGCTAGAAAAACAAAAAGGAGAATTATTGATAGGGTTTAAGAAACAATTAAAATTAATTGATGTTTTAAAAAGGCAGAAGGTGAGTATCAATGAAGGATTATAGATATTATCTGGACCTTTGTATTAGAGTTTTACTTTGTTTCATTTTGGTATCCTTAGACAAATTTTTATCTAAATAAAATCTATTATACATAAGCTTGTATAATGTATCATGCAAGTAAATAAGTTACATGGAAAATGGGACCGGTACAAATATAGAATCACATTTCCTTTTCAAACCTTAAAGAACTTTAATTCCAAATCACTGTTGTTCCTTGCTCTTAATATGTGGGAAGAAAGGAGTTCATAGTACTCCCACTTTCCTTTTTAAGGTATTTTACAATATTGAATTTTAATGGTAGGTTGGTACAGTATTACTGTTGGGATAAGAAAGGCTTTTCAAATATTTTGCTTATTAGAATGCATGTTTCTCAAATTTATATTTTGATATCCACACTTTTCCTTTTATAAGGTCTACTCAATATTAAGTCAGACAATATTGATTTCTTTTTAAACAGATGCACATTGAAGCTGCCAAGATGCTATCTTTCACTGAAGAAGAATTTATGAAGGCACTTGAATGGGGCAATTCATGAATGATCTACTTCAATTAGTCTGTATAACTTAAAAAGTTAAAACTTTTTAATTTCACAAAAAAAATTAGATGTGGGGATATAAAACTTTTTCTCATATGTAATTATTAATGAAAAAGGAAATATTGTATAAAATAAAGCAGCAAGAATTTTTTAATCTATTTCTTACGACCATTTTTAATTTTTTTCTTAGGACCTTTTTGATATTTTACAACTACACTTAAAAATATTTTACATCCTGGGAGATGGAGCAAATGGTAGAATAGGACTCTCCAGTGATCCTTCCACAGGTGTAATATTTGGCACCCGAAACCTACAGGCACTGAGGTCTGTCTGCCTACTGATGAGGTTTGTACATAATCTAAGGCTGCTGCGCTGGCTAGCAGACTTGTCTGTCTTGCAGGGACTGTGAACTCCTAAATGGCACTAGGAGTCAAGGGGACATCTGCCCAGTGTAGGGTTTTACTGAAGTGGGCCTGCTATAAGTGCTCCTAATACCACCAGAGCCAATGAGGGCTGTAATGGTGGAATATATAAATCACGTATGTTTAGTATGAAGAAGGTTTATTGGCAAAATTAAAAGTATTAATTTGTTAATCCTGAGATGTATATAGGCACAAAGATGTAATCTGACATCAAATATATAAAGTGGAAATATACAGCAATCTTATGTGATCAAAGTTATCAGTTTAACATAATAACCTGTTTTATAAAAGTCTCTCTTTAATAATCACAAAGCAAAAGCCTGTAGTACACTAAAAATAAAAAGAATCAAATCATACAATTATGATAATGGAATGTGATGGACATTATTACATGGATGAAAACAAAAATTGGTGTGAATATTCTTTGTATACAACCAGAGATATGAAAAATTGTGCTTTAGAGGCTGGGGATATAGCTCAGTTGGTAGAGTGCTTGCCTAGCATGTACAAGGCCGTGGGTTCAATCTACCACTGGGGGGAAAAAAGTGTAATAAGAATTGTAATGCATTCTGCTGTCATATATAAAGCCCTAAGAGTGGAAGATCAACAAAGCAGAATCACAAAACAGTAGTAGTAAATGCTGGAATGTTAATGGATTAAATTTTCTAAATAAGAGGAGCTAAATGGATAAATAACAAAATCCACCCGTACACTTCCTGTAAGACTCAGGATGTACACAAAGTAAAGGGATGGCAAAAACATATTTCATACAGAGAGAACTAGGATAGTTATGTCAAAGTACACATTAGACACAAACTAGATTAAAAGGTCATTATGTAATATCAAGAGCATTAATAAGAAACTGTCAAATATGTATGCACCTAAATACATATAGCAGTTTTTATTAAATGATCTGAAGGGAAAGATGGTATAGGACCTCAATGACCCACATTCAACAATGGATAAATTGAGAGAAAAATCAAACATTGAATGTGAGTTTCACTTCTAAAAAACAAAATTTCATCCAAGAACAAAATACATATTTTTAAGTGCACTTAAAACATTCTTCAGGATAGATCACATTAGTCCACAAAACAAATTTTAATAAAATTACATCAAGTATCTTTTTTTTAGCCACAATGGTATAAAACTATAAATTGGTAACAGAAGGAACTTCAGAAACTTTACAAATACATGGAAGTTAAACAATATGCTCCTGAATAACCAGCAATCAGTGAGGAAAAGGTAAATTTTGAATTTGAGAGGAAAAATGAAAACTAAAGCATTTCTAAGGGAAGTTCAAAGCAATAAATGCATATTTCGAAAGGAAATAGTTCAAAACACCAAAATTGCACCTCAAGGAATTAGAAAAAACAAGCTCAATTCAAAATTAGTACAAGAAAGGAAATAATAAAGATCAGACATAAGGGAAACTGGAACTAGGAAAATGAGTCAGGTTGGATATCCCTACTCTAAAAATACGAAATCATCAATCCTCCAAAATCCAAGACATTTTGTCTGACCTGATGCCACAAATGAAAAACACTTAATGTGACAGGTTGTAGAAAATAGTTATGCTAAAAATACTGTAAGAAATTGCCTTCAGGGTATGTGCATATGGAATATAAAATGTATTTCATGTTTAGGATAGAGTTTCACCTCCAAGATATTATATATGAAAATATTCTTGTCCAAAGCATTTCAGATAATGGATAATCAACCTGTGCAAAAAATTAACCAAAAAAAAAAGGTTGGTTTTGGAAAATAAGATTACAGTTATCTAAACTTGAACAAGACTAAAGTTGAATAAAAGATTCAAAATCAGATGAAAAAGACATTAAAAAGGATCATAAGACTAATACAGTTATATGCCACCAAGTTGGATAAGTTACAAGAAATAAATTTATGGATGCACACAACCTACTATGATTGAATTATTGTTATGGTTTAGATATGAGGTGTTCCCATTGTTCAGAGATGAAACAATTGGATTATGAGAGGAATAATGGCTTAATCCTCTGATATGGATTAACTGGGTGGAGGAGACAAGTCACTGGGCCTTTGGGGTTTATTTTGTGTCCGTGGTGAGCAGAATTTTCTGCTTCCTAATTGCCATGTTCTGAGTTGCTTTCCTTCACCATACTCTCTGCCATGATATCCAACCTCTTCTTGGGTCCAGAGCTACAGAACCAGCCATCTATGGACTGAGACCTCTGAAACCATCAGCCATCAGATTGTTCTTGTCAGCTCTTTTGGTTATAGCAGCCAAAAATACTGATTAAAACAGAAATTGGTACTGAGAAGTAGGGTCATTGATGTGACTAACCTGGTCACATGGTTTGGAAGCATTTGGAGCTAGTTCTTGGAGGGTGGAATTTGCTAAAGTTTGGAGATGCAAACTGAAAAACTTTAAGTGTTATAAGCAAAGCTTAATGGGTGAATCTGGTGGGGTTTCATAAGACTAGAATGCCCACAGGACAGTGGAGAGTAAAGATTGGGCTCATGAGGTTTCAGAGAACGATTCTACTGGAAATTAAACTACAGTCTAAAGCAGTTGTCTACATTTTGCCCATGTTCTAAGACGCTTTGTGAGGCTGAATTTAAAATAATGGATGGAGGAAATTTCAAGGCAGCCCAGCATTCAGGCAGTGGCATGGATATTACTGGCAGCTTTTAACCAAGTTTACTGTGATAATTAGGAGGAGAAAGCAAAGATTTGAAAAACTTGGTCAGAGAAGTGTGAGTAAAACTGGGGCTAAGGAAGGTGTGGTTATTGAAGAGACACTGGTAAGTGCTCAGAAACAACAGGAAAGACTGATGTTCTGAGGACATCTCAGAAATTGACAAGATGACAACCATGTCAGGCTCAAGGATGCAAAAGTTCTTTTGAGAAGAAACCCTGCAAGAACCCTGCTTGCAGGGTGAGGGTGGGACTAGGAAGTATTTTCACCTTGTTCAGCCACTCAGGCTGCTTACAGCCATAGTCCTTAGAGACTACTGCTCAAGATGGCAGGAGACCTTGGCATCAACTGTGTGGTTCTTCAGGAATGCAAGACGCTAGGATTAAGGGGATCATGGAGGATTCCACCAAGATAAACTTTTCTTCCTCTACTTACTCTTGTCAGGTGTTTTGGTCACAGTGATGAAAAAGCTGATTTCTATGAAGAAACAAAATCTTAACAAACCAATAATGAATGTCTCCAAAGAAAAGCACTGATGGTTTCACTGCTGAATCATACCAATCATTTAAAGGATAGGAATTCTTCTCACTGTTCCTAAAAATAGAAAGGAAAAGAAAAGGAATTCTTCCAAACTCAACTCAACAGTGACTAGCATCACTCTGATACCAAAATAAGAAAAGGCATAACCAAACAAATTAGAGGCCATATCTCTGATGAACACACATGTAAACATCAACAAAATATCAAATTGAATAGTACATAAACATCATTCACCATGATCAAGTGGAAATCATTCCAGGAATGCAAAATGATTCAACATATAAACATATCACCCTAGTGGAATGAAGAACAAAAACTTTCAACAGATGCATAAAAAACACTTGATAAAATTCAATATCCCTTTATGATAAAAATGCTGAAGAAACTAGATATAGAGGGAATGTTCATCAGCACAATCAAAGTCATATGACAAAATAGTTAACATCATACCAAATGGAAAAGTTGAGCTTTTCCTCTAAACTCTGGAAAAAGACAAGGAAGCTCATTTGTGCTACTTTTATTCAAAATACCAGAGGAGGTCCTAGACTAGGGCATTTTATTAGGCAAGAGAAAGAAATAAAAGGTATCTAAATTGAAAAGGAAAAACTGTCCTTATTTGCAAATGATTTATATATAAAAGGCCCTAAGGACTATACCAAATATCTGTTAGATCAAATAAATTCAGTAAAGTTATTGGATACAACAGTCAACATAATAAATCAGTAGCATTTCAATACACTAATAGCAAAGTATCTGGAAAAAAAAGCAATCCTTTTTACAAAAGTTATCAAAAACAAAGAAAAAAAGGTAAATTTAACAAAGGAGGTGAAAGATATCTGTTCTGAAAGCTACAGAATATTGAATAAAAAATACAAATGAAAGATATTCCATGTTCACAGAAGAACAAATATTAAAATGTTTATACCACCCAAAGAGACATATCAATGAAGTCCACCTCAAAACACCTATTATATTCTTCACAGAGATAGGAAAAAATCCTAAAATTCAAAAATAGCCCAAATAGCCAACATAAGGGCGGGGGGCAGAGGCCATATAATGCCTGATTTTCAAAACATATTACAAAGTTATATTAACCAAAACAGCATGGTACTGGCATAAAAACAGACACATAGACCAAGGTAAAAAAAAAATAGCACAAATAAATTAATGCATTTACAACCAAATGGTTTTCAACAAAGATGCCAAGAATACATGATGGGGAGAGGACGGTCTCTTCAAAATAGTGGTACTAGGAAAGTCAGATATCCACATGCAGAAGAATGTCAGACCCTTATCTCTCAATATATACAACAATTAATTCAAAATGGATCAAAGACTTAAATGTAATATCTGAAATTAAGAAACTACTAAAAGAAAACAGTGGAAAAGCTTCTAGACATTGATCTGGTTAGTGGTGGACAATTATTTTTTTGGATATGACCTTAAAAACACAAGCAATGAGTTAAATGGACTTAGAATACACTAAAAGCTTTCTATACAGTCAACAGTGAAGAGACATCTACAGAATGTCAAATTTTTTTTTGCAAAGTATACATCTGATAATATCTAAAATACATATGGAACTCAATAACAATACAAAAAAATCCCACTTTACAAATGGGCAAGACATAATTAGACATTTCCCAGAGAACACATATAAGCCAAGTATATGAAAAAAATGCTCAATATCATTAATGATCATGGAAATGTGAATAAAAACCACAACAAGATACTACTTTGCTCTAGTTAGAATGGAGTTTACCAAAAAGACTAATAACAACAAGTACTGGGCAAGGGTGTGGAGAAAAGAAAAACTTGCACACTGTTGGTGGGAATACAAATTATCAGAGCCATTATGGAAAACAGTATATGAGTTCCTCATATATTAAAAATAGTAATCCCATTATTGGATATATATCCAAAATAAATGAAATCCATATGGTGAAGAAACATGTGCATGCCTGTGTTTACTGCAACACTATTCACAATAATCAAAATATGGAATTAACCTATGTGTAACAATGGATGAATGGATAAAGAAAATGTGATAAATATACATAATGTGATACTATTCAAACAAACAAAAAGAATGAAATGCCATCATTTGCAGTAACATGGATGACCTTGAGGACATTATGTTATCATAATAAGCCAGACACAGAAAGACAATGCACGATCTCGCTCATGTAGTTTCTGGGGGGGAAAAAAAAAAGCTAATCTGACAAGTAGAGACCAGAATTGTGGTTGCCAGAGGATGTATTAGGGTCTGTAAACAAGTCAAGATGGCACCTGGCATTTTGCCAGAGGGAGTGGTTCGTGAAGTAACGCCAGCGAGCCATTAAGTGTGGAGATTCCTTATTGGTTGACTGCTGTTATCTAGTTTATGTTAATTAAGATAAGCTGTGTGTAATGTATATATACCCCTCCTGTTCTACAATAAATGGCTCCCACTCCTGCTATATCAGTGTACACAAGTTGCTCGTTACCCTCTGGTTATTTTGCTGCAGCCGGACTGCGGCAAGGATGAGTGATTGGAGGGGACATATAAATATGTTGGTCTAAGGATACATAATCACAACTAAGAGGAATAAGGTATTTATTACATAGCATGATGACTATATTTAATGACAATATATTATGCTCTTGAAAAATGCAAAAAATGGTTGTTATGTGCTCTTAACACAAAAATGGTAACTATGTGAGTTAATATGTGTAAATTAGCTAGATTTAATCATTGCACAATGTATTTATACTTCTAAACACTGTAGAACATGATAAATACATGTAAATTTACTGTCAATTAAAAATTATTTATGTTCTAATGATTTTATATTCATTTATGAACTAGAGAGATTCTTTTTAAGTACCTATGATGATCAAGCTCATTCAGTAATAAAGCACTTTAAATTCTTACTCTCTTTATTTACTATTCTCCTCTTTTATATTTGACAGCAAAATGTACTTTAAAACCAAAGTCTAAATATGCATTTCCCTGGCCAAATTAGTAAAGTTGCTAAACATAACTAGAGATGGAGGCAGTTCACTAGAACCTAGAACTTGGTATAAACTAAGGTAAATAGACTGTCTAGAAGATGGGATGCAAAAAAAAAAAAAATCTCTGAACAGTAGGACAGGTACTGAGAAGCTAGCCTCCTAGGTTTGGAGCCTAGGAGCACATATGCATGCATATATGTAAAATAAATTTTCAGTTAAAATATTCATTTGACACTTGTTTATAAATTATGAAATACAGTGATAGAAAGTGCAAGAAAACATTCCTACTCTAACTCTAAAACAATAGTTACGCTGACATCTAGTGGTAATGTACAGAAAAATCCAGATTTTACCAAGTTTGATGGTATCACTTTTCTTCACAAATTTCCTTCCTTTTCTGATATGCTTTCCTAAACTCTTCACCAAGCATATCAATATCATCCTCTTTTTTAAATATTCCCTATAAGAAAAATATTTTGTGTTACTTTTTGAATGCCAGAATATTGCACTAAATGCTTTAAGACTAACAAATACACAGACATGAGTTTAGTAAAGTTATCCAAAACAATGAAATCTATTCAATAAATTTATGAAACTTAAATCAATATTTTCCAAAAATATGACTTTACATTATAAGTATTCTTAGACCTAATTTCCTGACTTATCAGATCCAGAGCAGGAACTTGTGATAGGAATCTGGGATCTTCCACTTTATAATTACAATTGCCTGGAAGGAAAGGAATTTATATTGTACCCTACTCTTGTCTAAAACAGTTCTATAATAAGATGGAGATTAAAGGTGAAGAGACTAAGCTCTACTAGACTCATACATGGAATCAGTTCTTCATGCCTCTCTTCTATGGCTAATCAGTGAACATTCTATCTGTCAGGAAAGAATCCAGATTTGGAGTTAAGTCATTTAAGCAAGCCCTTTGAAATTCTTCATATTTCTATTTATTTTTCTTTTCCCCTATAGAAAACAGCAAAAGCCTCTTTAAAACAAAGTTAAACTGAAATATTTATCTTGCATTCTAAAGGAAGAGGTTAGTTAAGTTATCTAAAACAATGAAATCTATTCAATAAAATTTATGAAACTTAAATCAGTATTTTCATTTAGGTCATTTGGGGCCATTAGGACAAAGAATAAAGGTCATTTTTGGGTGATCAGGATTATTAGATCATTCTCCTGCCTCCACAATTATTCTCCCCACAAAAAATATTGACACCCAGTTACTCTCCTAGAATTTATAACTATTTTATGAAATTTATCAATTACATAGATTTTTCATTAATAAGCCCATTGAGAATAATAAACATAACTAATTTCATTAATTCTAAACAATTAGACTATAAGGTCCTGAAGCCAGGCAATAATTACTCATATATTTATCTTTCTTCTTTCTTAGTTTTGGACTGAACATTAAAGATGCATTTCTTCTTACTTAGTTTTGGACTGAACATTAAAGATGCATCTCTCAAAAGATAGATTTATATATTTGAAGGATGGTGATTTTAATTATATGAGTCTAGATGTTGAGGTGACCTATGAAACTCATTATTTTATGAGATATCTATGAAAATTTATGATCTTTTGGAATTACTTTTAAAAATTAAAGTTACCTAGACCTAGTTATAACATAACCTCCTAATATAGAAAAGATCTGTCTCAAACTCAGTTCAAGCATAGGCCTGTCACTGTGTTACCAATTACAATGTTTTCACATAATTTATTATCTTTGGTACATAAAGTATTGTGGTTGCTTTAGGGTGGTTTATTTCTAGATCTCTGATGGTGAAAAGGGAGAAAAGAACCTAAAATCTAAAATCAATTAATAATCTCATAGCTCAATGTGCCAAGACCAACTCTCTCATTTTAGAGATGTTTAAATATGATCCTGGTGATTATGATTATTCAATGCCTGGCCAAAGTTCCACTAATGCTTTATAACAGAGCAAGATATGTGTGACAACTTCATTTTCTGATATTCTAATATCACATTGTTTCCACTATTTGAGGCCACGAAGATTATTCCTTGAGCTAAATCTCACTTACCTTAGGGAGATATCCTAATAATTTTGTAGCATGTTCTTTGAGAAGTTTTAGCCTTTCTTCCTCAATAATATTGTTAATACAACCTTGTCTTCTTTGCTGTAACTGCCATTCTTCCAGCTCACGTTGCTGGAAATGCAAATCAGGTTTTACTAATGGTCATGGAATATGTTAATCTTTTTAAAAAGTTTTCAAATAAAACTATTCTTTCAGTGAATTAGGTGATAAAATTAATGAATTATTTGTGATAATAAGTTCAAAAGATATTAGTGCATAATATCTCATACTATTTTATATGTACACACATAACTTTTTTCATTTTTTAAAGTTACAAGAATAATAGGTATGACTACAATTTTTTAAGGAAACAAGTATATATAGCAAAATGTCAATACCAAGTATTAAAGGAATGATTTCCTAATAAACAGTGTAAAGACAGTTTACTGTGTAAGACAAAAACAATTAGTAAATAAAACAGAGTTATCTAAAGGATAAATATTTTCTTATATATATCAAATTTTTTCAAAGTCCATATAAAGCACAGGTGAAACAGCAAGAATTCCAGCAGAAGAACCAGCATTTCTCAGGAAAAACTCTTAATACTCAATCACATTAAAATTCTGTGCCATGTAGTGCAAATGTTATGACTGTAGGTCAAAGTTTGAGGTCTTAATTAGGGACTCATGGAACTGTATCCAAATGTGCCTATTGGATAGGGAAGGATACAAAATGCAGATCATTGAGATAGTGATGCATCTCTACCAGGAATTGCTTGAGAGTAATGCTAAATTCTCCCTTGAAATAATACACTGAGGTCACTACTTATTCAGTCTACTCCTCATCAAAGATATATAAACCATAACGGAGTATGTGAAAACAAACTTCTATGTAAGCTAATAACTCATCTAAGTTACTGTATAAATATAAAAAAGTATGCTGGCACATAGCCAATCCAATGCCACTGAAAACTGGAACTGCTTCTCAAAATATTTTTATCTACTATATTGGATAAATTTTTAATTTTTTACAGAATAAGAAAACATTTATGTTCAACTGAGAAAAAACTTACTCTCTCACTCACTGATTATTCTTGCTACTGAATCAAAGGTTGAGTTGCTCTTAATTAATTTGTCTCTAAGATAAAATAGGGTATTGGAATCTGCCATGAAATTGTTGTACCTGATTTTTATTTTTTGAGTTACAATTCTAAGGCTTCTTTATAGCCAGCTGTGGCCACAAAGTCAGTGGAATGTAAGTGACCTTCATATGGAAGCTTCCACCTTTTATCACTATCTCTGCTTGAAACATGGATACAAAGGCTAAAGATCTAGCTGAGATCATACACACGGGGTGAGATCATACACATCTATGGGCTACACCCACAGATGCCGCCGGAGTGAAAAGCTGGAAAGAGTCTGAGTCCCTGAAGACCAGGGAACACACCTCCATTTCAGCCCTGGATTGCCTTCCTGTAGATTTTCATATGAGAGAACAATAAACTAACCACTCATCTACCGTTAATGAGACTCAATTTCTAAACCTAATTGTGACATTCTTTATAAAGGGGAGATGTAAGAAACTTCTGTAATATTGGGGAAAAGCACACTTAGATTTTTGTCCAATAATGCAGAGTATCTCAGGTAAAATATAGCAATTTCCTTCCTTGGACACTGGTCACAGTAAGTGTATATCCTAAAAAAAAAATTCTGGTAAATAGTGTAAATGACTTAGACAGCATGAAACCTATTTACCCATATAAGAGAAATTCTGAATAGCTCTCTTAGTAGGAAATTATGGGGAGTTTCAGATTTTGTCTAATTATAAAACTCTTTAGAGGTAAACACTAGCTAGGAACAGTTCTGAACTCTTAAAAAGCAAGATCAGAACCTCACGCTTAGCAGTGTAAGTCTAATGGAATGATGATTTTTTTGTTGCCTGAGGCCAAAACAAAAACATGGCCCAATCCTCCTGACACTTAAAGCTAAGTCCACAGCCTCATACTTGATTTTTATTAAAAATTAAGACATAAATTTTATAATTTACAATTTATGCATTAGGTGGTTTTCTTTCTTTTTTTCCATCTTCTGCCTCAAAAAATTTTTTATTATTATTTTTTTGCATTACAATTCTTAATACACCTTTATACCACAATTTATCATGTCTCTGATTGTATATAAGGTATGTTGAGGTGGTTTTATTTCATTGCCATTTGTAGCTGTCTTGCTGACTATCTCTCCAAGCCAAGAGAGAGGACAGTCAGTCACTGGTTCTACTTTTTTATAAGCAAGATTCAAAGCCTTAAGAGAATTCCCAAAATCTTTTAACTTTCTATCTTCTTAATTACTGTGCTTCCTAACATGGTTGATCACATTCATTAATACAACATTAAGTATTTATCACACATCAGGCACACTGCTAGGTACTTTATAAATAATCATCTCCCTTAATGTACAGAGTTAAATCATGACTGGTTTATATCAAGGCTAAGAAATTGAGATTTTACCCTATAAGAGTCCACTGAAGTTTAAGCAGGAGAGGGACATGATGAGATCTTTTAAAACCCTGGTAACATGTGGCAGACAGACTAGTGTTACAAAGTGACCAGTTAGAAGACAATTTCAGTTAGTCTATGAGAATGCTACTGAATGTCTGAACAGTTACAAATGAACTAGATTTCAGAGTAATTGCTGAGGTAGAATCAGTACAATTTGGTAACCAAATAAAAATCATTAATTGAGTAAGAGGGAAAATCTAGGAATGATTCCAAGGTGTGTTAGGCTTTTGTTGCTGTGACCAAAATACCTTCCTTTTCACAGCTTTACATGTGGCCCTCTCAGGACTGCCTGCAGGGGTTCTGACCCTGCAACATTGTCTGACCTCCCAGTTCTCCTCGTTCAGTGACTCTCACTGGTAAAGGTCCAGCTTCTTAACACAGTGTTCCAGGTACTCATGCCCTGTCAGCTCTACTCTGCCATCAACACCATGCATATCTATATAACAGTACATGCATGTGACAAATCTTTATAATTAGTTTTTGTATTGTTCTCTCCACCAAGACCATAAATTCACAGATGACATAGACTTAGCTGTATTTACCTTTATGTTCTCAACACCAAACCATATTTAGCACATACAAAACACCAATAAATAGTTTCTTGATTCCTTAATAAATGCTTGGTCAGAAAATATATCGTATGATTGATAAACAGATATCTAACACTGGCATATAAAAAGGTCTCAGTAAATGTTTAGTGGATGAACAGATAAGTTGATTGCTGTTCAGTGCCAACAAAAAACCTTTTATTCTTACCTTGTCTGCAAGAAACTGGTTTCGACGTTCTTCAATAAGTTTTTCCACAGCCCTTCTATGTTCCAGTTGCTTCATTCTTTGTTTCTGAGCATTCATTAATTCTATTCGATCATCCTCAGCAAGTTTAGCTAGCATTGTTTTTCTAAAAGCCTCCTCTTCTTCTTTTGCAGCCTGTAATACTAATTCCTTCAAAGCCATTTGTTCTTCAAAATCTTGCTTCAACTCTCTCTGCTTTCTCAATTTCTCTTCTACTTTTTCCTAAATAATGTAGATAAGTTAATTTAGTAATCATTATGCCTTTTTATGACACTTTGCCCCACCATTTAAAACTATTTGGATAAAGGACACGTTCCTTTGGATAGCTTTCTATTACGGTATATATTTCTGATCTTGGTTCTATACTCATAATTAACATATAACACTTTGAAAAGAGTTAATTTTGCACACCTGACTATTAATCTGTGGTCTCTGAAATGTGCACCAACTATGAATCATTCTAGAAACTTGCCGGAAACAGCTGTCCAAACCACTAAGTATTTTTCAGTTTCCAACTTCCTGTTTATCAAAGCTGCATTTATCCAACTTTAGTCTTCTAATACTCTTTTCATTCTCAAAATTCTTTAAAATTTAAAAACAATAATCTAACAATGACAATTAGACAATTTTCAGGGAAATTCAAATTCACTTGAAGCAGCAAAACTCTTTTCCTCCAAGTTTTATTTTCCAAACATTGATGAAAAATTTCAAACACACCAAAAAATTTAAAGAATTTTACAGTAATCATCCACATCTAAAACCTAAATTCTAATTATGTTTTACTAGTCTTGCTTTATCATCTGTCTATTCAATTAGGACTATTATAAAAAAATTATATGTATATGTATACATATATATATTATATATAAAGTTATAATTTACATATATATATATATAGTTATAATTCCTTTTTTAAAAATCTAACCAACTTTGCCCAATTCTAGCACAAGCTCCATGTAAGCCAATATCCTCAATGCATCTAAAATAACTGTCTTAACACCTGTATTGGTGAGGGTTCTTACAGATAACAGGGACCATAAAAGATTTACTACAGGTCATTGTGTTGCATACAGGACTTCTGGAAGGACCAGAAAACCAATGTTTCCCCATGACAATGCTGTCAAAACTGCCCCTAAATGATCTGCTCTTCCTGTGGTGTGGCTGTTATCTCATTTTGCTCACTTGTATCTTCACACCTTAAAAGGAGGGAGACAAGTGTGGGAGATAATCTAGGTCATATGAAGACCTTAACTAAAAGAAGAGTCATTTTTACTTTTTAGTTTTTATAATATAGTAAAACAACTGTTTCCAAAAAGGGTGGGTAGAGTAAGTGAACATCAGCTTTATCAACACTGTTCCCTATATATAGCTACATTGAGTATTCTTCTCTTCTTTGTCCCTTCTTCATTATGTACCTTGAAGTCCTACTCTGTCTATAAAGTTTTCTCCAGTCTAATATTCATCTTCCTTTCTGGCCTCTTAATTAAAAAACATCAATTTATCATCTAATTGTATATTATATATATAATATGTCATATGTCCTCACTGAAAATAATTTCCTAGAGGACATATTTTGTTTTTCATTGGGATGCTGGCTGCATAAATGTTTCTATAATATATATTTTGTGTTTATTTGCTATGTATTATGTAGAAGGCTCCTTGAGGGCAGAGTTACTGTCTCATTTGGTTTGGAATTCCTCTAGAGTTTATCACAACACTCTGCATACAGAAATATAATATATACCAAAGTTAATATAGTAATATAGTTGATATTTCCTGAAATCCATCTCCCATACAAAATTTTAGTTCAATTCAATAGTGAAGACATCTAGCTAAAAAACAGGTAAATGTTTGGCAAAAATAAAATATTTCCAATGTAGAGTGTTCCTGTACTCTTTGATAAGTCTCGATCAGTATTATTAAAATTATATACCATGAACTGCATGATTTTCCATTCTGTGGTTTTAGAAACAGCTGTTCATTGAAACTTTGAAATAATTTGCTATAAAACTACTTTGATTCTGGGAACTTTCAGGAGATCTCCTAATCTAGATTCTCCTACAGACTAGATATTTTACTGGGGGAGATAATACCAGTAAATAGCAGGGAGGGACAAGCAGAGTAAAATGGGAAAGGAAGAAAAGCAAACACACAATGTTACATCGCTGAGCTGGTGACCATGGTGGACAACTGAGGCTCAGTCCTGTCAGGACCTTGTAAGGAGTATGTGGATGTTAACTTTCTGCTCCCAGAAACTGTCAGCACCGAGTCAGTCTAAGCTTTCATAAAAGTTCTCCATAGCTGTCACTGAAATCAGAAGGTGGGACTGAGAGGACATGAGGCAAGGCAAAAAAGTATTGGAGGCAGGAGATAGCTGTCATAATATTTTGCCTGATCATACAACATTTGGAAAATCGGCTGGTTTAGATTTCCACATTAATATATAATTGAATAAGTAACCTCTTTTTTCCCCTGATCGTCTCTATATTTCCTTTGATAGACCACTTATCCTTTCTTAATCTATTTGGACTTTTTTTTATGTTCTTTTTGATAAAATGTCTTAGTTTTTCCTTAATAGTAAGCAACTAGATTAATTGATAGTGTGTTTTCCTAATCTTAGTTAATTTCCACTTGTAATCTTTATTTCCTTATACATTCTTGCTCTAATACTTGAATTTGTATCCTTTTTCTAAGTTCACTATTTTTTTTCCACGAAACTTCACTAATTGCCACAGGTATCAGTATTATAAAATCTTATATATTTTGATATATAGAAATAGTATCCTCTAAATAGTTGCAGTTTTTCTCTTCAATCAATAACCGAGAAAGATGTTTTTGAATATTTAGTTAGTTGATTAAAATATTTCTTACTAATTTCTCGCATTTCCCTTGCATTATGCTGGTAAATTTCCTTTAGATTTCTAATAGCTTTAAAAATTATGTATTTCAAGGCAATGCTACATGGAAGATTAGTTTCTTTTATTACACCTTCAGTATCAATTATATTTTTTATCTGTAATACTTAGGATTTGTTTGATGTTCTAGTTTATCTGGTGATAACCCTGAATCTATCTGCTTCCTAATTGTTCATAAATACCTGATATGCCTTCATTTATCATTTTATTAACTTTTCTGCACAGTTTGATCTTATGTATGTGAATTACATTAAGATATTCTAAAAGGGTCTGTACATATTTTTTACATTCTTATGTTGTTAATCAAGAACATACATGCAATGTATTTTTATATCAATACATGTATGTAGCGATTTCCTCCTCACTAATGAACCAGTGTATCTAAAAGAACAATTTGTTTTGATAAAGCTGAAAATTATTATACAAAACAATAGTACTAGTTACAATTTATTACATGCATATATCTTGTTTTGTGAAGAATATGTTAAAATCTTTTTGCTTCCTTAAAGATTGGATTCTTTAAAGACTTCAGTATACATACAGTAAAGTGTTCTTTACAACTTACATAAAGGTTTTCTGCAAGATTGAAATATAGGAAATATTTTATCCCAGACTGTGGTTTGCATTTCATTTTCCTAGAAATGTTAGGAAGTTATTAATGGTGAAAAAGCTCAATCTCTAAATTTTTCTTTAAAAGACATGCCTTCTTTAAACCTATCAACAAATGCCATTCCCAATTTCATGAAGACCTTCTTGTGTTTGCTTCTGTAAATTATATAGTTCTAGCTTTTTTGTTCATATCTGAGTCCCATTTTGAGTTAATATACTAAAAACTAAAATAACAGGAGTTGGTAAAAATGTGGAGACATTGGAACCCTCAGACATTATTAGCATGAGAATGTAAAATGGTACAGCCTTTGTAAAAAGCAAAGTTAGGCAGTTCATAAAAAAATTAAACACAAAATTACCATACTGGGGCTGAGGTAGATAGCTCAGCAATAGAGCACTTGCCTAGCATGCCTGAGGCCCTGGGTTCAGTCTTCAGACCCCCCACCCAAACACACAAAATGGCCTAGCAATTCCACTTCTATGAATATACCCAAAATAATTTTTAAAGGCGTTCTAACAAAAACTTGTATACAAATATTCATAGTAGCAATATTCAAAAACATCAGAAGGTAGAAACAAAAAAAATCAACTGTTGAATAGATAAACAAAATGTGGTATGTCCATATAATGCATATTATTTAGTCAAAAAATGAATGAATTACTGATACATGAATGACCTTTAAAAACGTAATGTTAGAACTGAGGATGCAGCTCAGTGGCAGAGTACCCAGCATTTGCAAGGTTCTGGGTTCAATCTTCAGCACAAGAAAAAAAAAAATATGCTAAAAGAAAAAAGCTGAGCATTAAAGGTCACATTTATATGAAAATAACTAGTAGTAAAGTCTATAAGGCACAAAGTAGACAAGTGGTTGTCAGGGGCTAGGGTAGAAGAGAATGCACACAAATACCCTTCTCAGGTAATGAAGATGTTTTGGAATTAGAGGTGATAGTTTCACAACATTGTGAACATTCTAAATGCCTCTGAATTATACACTTTTATTTAAAATAGCTAAACTGGTAAATTTTATGTCATGTGAATTATACCTCAATTTTAAAAATACTGATATAACTGAAAGGCTAAATACACAAATTCACAATATGTTAGAGACATCAATAAACCCTCTCTTAACACTTGACAGAACAACCAACACAGAAAATCAGTAGGGATGAGAAAGAGTCAACACCATATCACCAAGTAGTACCTAACCAACATGTATAAACGATTTAATCAACAAGAGCAGAATATGCACTCTAGTGCCCCAGAACAAATTTAATGAAATCGAGATCAAACTGAGTGTGTTCCTGATCACAGTGGAATCAAATCAGAAATCAGTAACTAAAAAGATAGCAGGAAAAATATCTGGATATTTGGAAATTAAGCAGCATAATTCTCCATAATGAATGAAGAAAGAAGTCTTAAGAAAAATCAGAGCCAAGTATAGTGGTGCACACCTGTAATCCCAGTGCTTTGGGAGGATGAGGAAGGAGGATCGAAAGTTCATAGCCAGCCTTAACAACTTAGCAAGGCCCTGTCTCAAATAAAAACATAAAAAAGGACTGGGGATATGTGCCCAGTAGTTAAGCAACCCTGGGTCCAATCCCCCGTACCGAGAAGGAAGAAAGAAAGAAAAAAATCAGTAAATTTTAGTTAATGAAAATAAGATGCGGCAAAATTTGTGAGATGCAACTAAATAAGGACTGAGAGACATTTATAGCACCAAATACGCACACACATTTAGGAAAATGCATATGCAGATTCAGTATCCCTAATTCAAAAAATTCAATATCCAAAATCCAAAGCTTTTACACAGCATCATGCTGGCATGTCAAGATTTGAATTTTAGAGAATTTCTAACTTAGGGTTTTTAGATTAAGGATGCTTAACCAGTGAAGTCCATAAACATATTCCCAAATCCAAACACTCCAAAATATGGAACACTCTGAAAGCAATAAAAGATAGTAAACCTGTGTAACACTAATTGCATGCATGTGAGAAAAGTCTAAAATAATCTCAGCTTCTACCTCTAGAACCTATAAAAAGAGAAGTAAAGTAAACTGAAAGCAAGAGAAAGAAAATAATAAAGATATGACCTGGAATCTAATGGATTTAAAATTAGGAAACAAAAAAATAATAATTTACGAAACAAAAGGCTGGTTTTTAAAAAAAAATCAGTTAAGCTGAAAGACCTTTAATAAAGTTAACCAAAAATAAATATATAAATATGTTTTGCTTATGAGTTCATTAGGTTATTTTCACTTTTAGTTATTATGAATGGTGCTGCTATGAACATTAATATACAGATTTTTGTGTAGACTTAGGATCATTAATTTTTCATTATTGTTATTTTCTAACTTATTTATTAAAACACATGAACTCCCCATTAAGTACTGCTTTAGCTGCTTCGCACATATTTTGGTATACTCTTCTTTTATCATAAATTTGAAAGATCTAATTTCCACTATGACTTCTTCCTGTGCTCACTGCTTATTTAGAAGTGCATTGTTTATTTAAAATATTTTTAAGGATTTTACATGTATATTTTCAATATTGATTCCTAATTTAATTACACTGTAGTCAGAAAACATACTTGGTATGTTTTAAAACCCTGTGAATTTATTGAGAGTTACTTATGTCCTAGAATATGATCTGTCTTGGTGAATGTTCTATGTGTACTTGAACGGAATTTGTATCCTGCTGTTGTTGGGTGGAGTATTCTCTGAATATCAGTTAAGTCAGGTTTGTTGACATTGTTGCTCAGCACTGTATCCTGTGATTCAGATCACTTAGTCTATATATTAGTAAGAAAGGAATATTAAAATCTTTAACTCTTGATTGTGGATTTGTCTATTTCTCTTTTCAAACCTGTCAGTTTTGCTTCATGTATTATAAAAGGTTTGCTAGTTAGGTTCATATGCCTTTAGAACTATTATACCCACTACATTAATCTTACAAAAATCCTTGTTCTGAAGTTGACTTGGTCTTATATTAAAATAGGCACTCCAACTTGCTTTTAATTGACTAGGGTCTATGTAGTATATATCTCTTTTTGCTTTAAACTACATGTTGTCTTCATACTTAAATTTGCTGATTACAGACAACACAGTTACATTACACTTTATGATACAGTCTATGAACTCTCTGAGTGCAGCTTTTTTATTCAACTTGAAAATGTCTTAACTGCATTGTTTACACCATTTACCTAGAGTGCAATTATCGATAGGTTGGGTTTAAATTTACTCACTCTACTGCTTCATCTCAATATTATAGTCTTCTATTAATAATTCTTTTAATATCTGAAACTTACTCTTAGTTGCCTCCTGTATATTTCAGCTTGTTCTTCCTGGTATAATTCCTGTCGTACTTGTTCCAGGTCTTCACGTTGCCGCAGCATTTCTGCCAATTTCTGAGTCAGCTATTAAATTAAAATATATATATATATTTATAGGATCCAAATTCAATACCTAATTATTTCATAAATTCACCATTGTCAGAGAAGTGGTTATTTTAATACCGCATTCTGAAGCTGCAGCCTTTTTTCCTCATTTTCCTGAACTTTTGCCATCCTTTGTTCTTCTCTTTGCTGCTGCATGTTAGCAAACTCTATGATTTTTCTGTTTTCTTCTTCCATCTCCTCACGTTTCTTGTTTCTCCAGATAGTCTGCTCTTTCTGAAACTCCTCAATATATTTTCTAGTTGCATTCATTTTTTCTAATTTTTGTTGTCTTTCCCTAAAGAGCAATAGCAGATATAGTTTTATAGTAAAAGAAATAATAAAATATAAAAAAATAAAAAGTTCCTTCTGTTAATAATAATGTTCAGGGAAACAACTTCCCTATTTACAGTTTGTTCATTAACACTACAAATGCCTATTACGTGTCACTACAAATTTTCTCTGGATAAAATACTACTGTACTTCTCTTTTAACCTACTAATGGAGTTTTATGCATCTCATTTCAGAAAGGCTATGACCTGTTAACATGAGCCTTGTAGTCTACTCTTAAGCTGTCTACTAAGGAAATTTATCAGAAAATATGTCCCATAACATATGGTATGGATATATTTAAGAAACAAAGATTTAGGTCAATCAGTAGTAAATAAGCATTTATTAAATATGAGATACTTATTAACAATCATGCTGACAAAGATAAAGAAGAGCTGGTCTCAATTTTTGTGATCATAATATTTATTGAGCATTTACTATGTATTCACACTGTTATATGTGCTTCACCTCTTCACAACAAACCTATGACAAATCCGAAGTAAACGTTCAGGCATTAAGAATTTTAAGTTTCCATGACAAACTTACATTTGATCTTCTTCATAGATTTTTCTAACAATTTCATCAATCATGAGTTTCTCTTTCAGCAAGTGCTCATAAGCTTCCTGCTTTTTTCTCTCTTGTTCTTCCAGTTGTTTCTCCAAGTCAAGACAGTACAGCGCTTTAACTTTGTTTTTTCTATCTTCGGCAGCATGTTCTTCCTTCATCATTCTCTCGTGCTCTTCCATCATGGTCTTGGCTATTTCAGCATCACGTTTCTGATATTAAAACAAACTTTATCTTTCTCTTTTCAAATCTGAACCCAGTATGATAAAATACTTTAAATAAATGTAACTGAACATTATAAAGCCTGTTATTTATTTTATTTATAAAATAAATTTTTTCAGCTGTCTAGGTAAAAAAGTCAAAAGTAAGTCATTGTGACCTAAAGGGTCTGAATGATGATGCTTGGGTAATACCTGATAAGGATAATCAATAAGTCTATACCAGAAAAACAGTAAGAAAAATTATGAGTACTTTATTAGTAACCATTTTAAACTATGAAAGCAGTAGTGATCTTTTTCTTTTGTTATAAGTTGATTCTCAATTTTGATTTTTCATAGTATCAGTTGCTATTTGGAATCAAGATGGTACTGCCATTTTCATATAGGTCTGCTATTAAATGACTCTGAGCAGCTATTAAGTTTCTCCTAGTTGAAGCTTTCTTTCCTGCCATCATCCCTTGAGTTTCTTCTTTCTCATGTATTAAAGGCCCTTTGTAATCTCTTTTACTTGAAAGGGTTATATATGCTACTGTGCCTGTTTTCTGCAGTTTTAATACACTCTGTACTGAGTTAGAGACAATCCTTTTCTTGGATGGATTAAATCCCTTAATTATTTTGAGCAATTTCAAATCATTTAACAAAATATGTTTAAATTAAATATAATGGAGCATTTTTTAAAATTAATGTTTGCCTTTATGATCACATCCTAGCATTTTTGGGTGTGGGGGGGTATCAGGGATTGAATTCAGGGGCACTCGACCACTGAGCCCATCCCTACCCCCATCTGTATTTTATTAGAGAAAGGATCTCACTGAGTTGCTTAGCACCTTGCTAAATTGCTAAGGCTGGCTTTGAACTCACAATCTCCTTCCTCCGCCTCTCAAGCCACTGGGATTACAGGCATGTACCAAGGCACCTGGTCCACATCATAGCTTTAACAGCATCAAATATAAAAAGCAGATTAAAATATGAATGATAAATGTCATTCGTTATATAATTAATGCTTATAACATGTACCCTGTTAATGTATCTTAACCAAAATTTCCTTGCACTTTTCTTTGTACATGTTGACTAAATTCTTTAAAAAAAACTTTTATGTACAGATTAAAACATACTTATAGAAATATATTATTCTTATTTTACAGATGAGAAAACATAAGCTCAGAGAGACAGAGCCAAATACTAGTACCTAGATATCTGACACCTAGTTAAGTCAAGTCCTAGGAGTATTTGGTTTCAATTTTGTGGATCAATTTTGACTTAGAAAATAGCAGCAATTCATTTAGAAATCAGATTAGAATATCTATAATGGTCTTGAATAACCTCAACTATCAGGATAATTAAAACTACAAACCACTGGACAAATCATACATTGTGTTCTAGTTTATTTTGAAAGGATAGAATTTATCCTTTCAAACAGAGGATATCCTTTCAAATAGAGGATAGAGGCAATGAAGCCTCTCACATTTTCCTACCAGCTGCTATTGCTATATCTAAGGTTTTCACTATTAATAGCATGCTATATTAATTCCTACAAATATATATATGCACAAAACATATATACCATTTATAGCCTGCATCTATTCCTAATGAATACTGCACTAGTTAACTATTTTGATATCACCTCTATAACTGTGTGTATGAACATATTTACGTTGATATACACACCTATGTGTACATATATTCATATATAATTGGCCTTTCTGTGTGATGATACAAACTCAAGAGATAATGTATACCCTGTTTGTGTTAACTTATGGACTGTACTTTATATTTATACTGTATTATACTCCTTGCCCTCAACTGGGTAACATGTGAGGAGTCAGAAAAGGGGAACAAATAGAAACTTGAGAAAGGGGCTGCTTTTGTAAAATAGACAAGTTTCCTATACAAAATTATCAAAATATAAACCAACATGCAAAAAATATAGTTATCAGCTGAAAGGTTCTAATATTAAGTTAAACAAT